TGTCCGTCAGTTGAATGGCAATTAAGGAAACTTTGTATTTACTTTGCGAACAAGATCTTTAATGTGGGCACACTTTCTGCATGAATTCCCCACTAGCTGGGCGAAGGTGTAAAGTAAGCAGGTTTATCAAGGGGCTGTTAGGATGATCTGGATAAGCTGGATTATGCACATGCTTGCAGAAACCGTGTTAATGTTTAGATGGATGTTAAATGAAATTGAACCACAATGTGGAATGTTTTTATATATTATTGGTTCTAGGTTCTGTTTCAGCTTCAAAAGAGACCTGAACATATTGCCGTTGTCATACACGAAAAATGTTTGTATGCAGTTTCTTGTTAACCTTTTCTCTAGATTACTGCATTACTAAACCATTTGAAGTGTCCCTTTAGTCGAAGGTAACGGATGACTTCAGTACATGTGGCTTCCCTTTCCATGACAAGTTAGAATTTAATAAGTGGATGAGTCATTTAGTTAGGTTGTACCCCACTTTGGAAATATTTCAACCAAATCAAGAATTTAAGGCTTCACACATTGTGTTCCTGTGGGGATTGGAAACTTTCACGTGGATGCTTCTGCTCACCAAAGCTATAATTAGAACCAAAGTACACATTACACTCACATAAATAAATCGGAGCCGTTTGAAAGTCAAAAACATCACAGAGTACAATGTTGACTATGATGACCGGAAAATAAAAAAAATGTATGGAAGCGTATTTTGGATGTTCGGGTATAACAGCATATATCTGTTAGGGTTAAGTGGGATGGAGTTTATGTGGAAGAGGTGGAAACAGGTTGGGTGGATCCATGCATTGGAGGATCCACACTTTTATCGTCCTGACCCGTGTATGTAGTCTGAACGTGTTTAACTGATTTTGTGTCATGTTAGTGTGTGAATAGAAAACACATGTGTGATTGTATTTAATCGATCGTGAAGAGGATTTGCTTTAACTTGGCGAACAAAGGTCAGGTGGTGAGGTGAAATTGGGTTTAACGTCGTGCTTGAGAATATTTCGCTCATATGACGACGTGCATGCGTGTGTATGTGTAGGTGCGGCTGCTTGTACTAGCCCAGACTGAAGCTGGTTTTATAGTGCTAGCCCACTGAGATACCATGCCGCAGTGAAGCATGAATACCCCACTCAGACACATTATACTGACTCCGAGCCGACCAGTCCTTGTTGTACCCATTAATGCCGAGCGCCAGGCAGGGACCAACAAGTACCATATTTTAACGTCTTTTGGTATGACGCGGTCAGGGATCGAACCCACGACCTTCCGCTCTCCGGGCGGACGCTCTAACCACTACACCACGGAGGTGGTCCGTTGTGTCGGAGTAGGGAGGGGTGCGTATGTAAGTAGAGCGGGGTGGGGTTGTGAGACGGGATGAAGAGTCATCTTCATTTGATGTCTTGATTGAATGTGGCCGTTATAATATTTACTTTGATTCAGAGTATAAGATGTGTAAAGCATTAGTATAAATTATTAAGCATTGGTACAACAATGTACCGTAAATAATGTTATCTCATGTTGAAAAGAATTGATGAAAATGGACGTAAGTCATGGGCAACTGAAATTAAAAGATCAATATGCATCTATAGTTTTAATTATGCATGGGATTTCCAAAACACTGATTTGTTTATTCACAAGTCTCGCAGAGTGTTAGAAATTGTAGTGCTCACTGTCTTATTTCCATGTTAAAAGACCATTCTCATAGCTTTCTACTCGACCATTAGAGCAGCATTTGAAAATGAATCATTCCTATTGACTAAACATAATAATACATGATAAAGATACCTGTATATCACTTTTAAGGGTAAAGGAATTAAACATCACCGAAAATACTGGAAGAAAAGAAGATATATCTGGAGTATGATGATTTTGTGAGAATATCTTAGAAGATGAGTTGCGAGTTACTGAGTTCTAAGATTAAATTAAAATTCTCTAGGTACTTTTCTACCAGTATTGTTAGTGATATATAATAAAATAAAAAAGACGAATTAATATACAATCCCATATATTCAATGCACAGACATATATGACACAAAATGGAAGGCATCTCAGTCCAACACTCTAGCGTATCTCTCGTTTCCCCCAACCCTCCATCCCCTCAGTAATATTTCATCAGTATATGGAATCCGTTAATCTGTGCCCCCGTCCATGCATACTTACATCTCCACCTCTATACAAACTATAAACTTTCAATAAACTGCACCTCAAATCTGGTCAAAATGTAATTCTTAACATTATATGTTGCTGAAGTGGCGTACAACCTAACCAATCCATTCACCCACATACATGTAATTCTAACTTGTCGTTCAAATGGAAGCCACATGTACTATGAATTAAGTAAGTAACTGTTCAAATTGTAATGAATCTATGTATGTTTATACTACCGGTTATAACCTGGATACCATTATCAGCGGAAACAAAGAACTTACTCTGAAAACCAGAAAATAGTTGAATCCGTGCACGATTTTTTCATCAAGACCAACGCTTTAAATTTTTACAGAAAAAGAATTTAATGAACTCAACAACAACCTTATCATGATTGGTTTATATTTTTCACAAATGGCTTGTTAGACACACAAAACCGTAACTCTCTATGTTTGTTTACTTAGACAATAGTTGTATTTATTTTTCATGTAATATGTATACATATATTATTTATATAATAGTCAAGATCGATGATGTCACATCATTTCATTTTGTATTATGTGTTGTTTGGGAGCGGTGTTAACATAAGCTGTAAAGCTTGTTCGCCAATCCCAATTCATTTTCATGAATGAAAATATGTTTAAACCAAAGGAAAGGTTAACAAGGAACTACTTTTTGTACATGCAAACATTTTATCTTTACCCAGGACAATTCGTTCAGGTCTCTTTTGAAGCTGAAACAGAACATCGAACTAATAAGATAGGAGAAAAACAACATTCCACACAATTGGTACAATTTCATTCAACATCCATCTAAACGTTAACACGGTTTCTGCAAGCATGAACCTAATCTAGATTATCCAGATCATCCTAACAGCCCCTTGATAAACCTGCTTACTTTACCCCAATTCATGCAGAAAGTGTGCCCACATTAAAGATCTTGTCCCCAAAGTAAATACAAATGTTCCTTAATTGTCATTCAACTGACGGACAAACCTACCTGAATTAGGAGTTATCAACACATGGGCTACCTGTACATTTGATGTTCTATCTGGTGATTAACCCGGGATAATCCCCCTAACACCCTCCTTTGGGTAGCTCCATAACTACGGGGACACAAGCGATCGCACTTTCACACCAAGCCCAACTTCCTTAATGCGTTAAAATTTAACTATGCCCTTATTATCCATTCTAATCGATTAAATGGATAATGAAACGATCAACGAGTGTTGTCTTTGCCATGTAGACATGTTGTATTAGTACAGGTATATAGCAAGAGGAGAACACAGACACAGCATCATTCGCCTAACACTTGTCCCAAAAGAAATAGCAATATATCAGATACTTAGTATTGTGGAAACTATTTGTTCACTACAATGTTTAAAAGGGAACTCACAGTTTACATGAGGTTTTCAACCCCCAAAAGCCTCGTTTCCGATGACGAAGACTCGCGGGATAGCGGTTTTGAGTCTCTCTGCAGTGATAGCGAGGTTGGCTGAATAACATATTGCACCTGTTTTGATATAAATTCGCGTGGTCGAAAGAAATATCAAATAAAACGATTATTTCGAAATGAATATGGATGAATGGATAAGTGAGCAGGACGACTTTCCTAAGCAACAAAATGGTGTTTTTCAAGAGACATTATACAATCTAAATGCAATGAATGCTTTTTCTTCAGGTGTCTCCCCAATCTGTGGATCACAGGCGAACTAGTCTCTATGGAATAAGGAAGGCTCTTTTCACAGGAAAGAGACCACGTGACCATGCTAATGAAGAGGAGGAATATGGTCTAGCCAGGCAGATCAAGAAACACAAAACTGCCTCTATTGTCCATGAAAAGAACCAGGTTGAAGCGCCTTCAGAAGTGATGAAGTCTGCTGTGGACAAAATGGAAAATGAAGGAGACCTGATCGGGGATAGTTCACAGGTTAGTGGTTATCTAGAACTTCAAAGAACCTCCAACTTGTCCAATTAATGTGATAAATGACATTCAACCTATGATGATGGCAGTCATATAGACATATAAGGTGCATTATAGTTTTGATTATTTGTTTTCAGGTTCATAGTCTCCCAACCATACAAGGTAGACACAAGGATCTCAAGTCTGTGTCTCCACAAACGGTCAGTCAGCTCCTTTCTGGAAAGTATGATGACGTCATTTCCTGTTACCAAATCATCGATTGTCGGTACCCCTACGAATATGAGGGCGGTCATATTGAGGTACGGCTGCTTCATATCTCTTATCTTACAAATATATGCAACACATGTTTATGTTGGTTTTGTACTTTTACACACAATATACAAATCTGAAATGACAGAAATCAATATTCGTAACGTCAGTAATCAAAATACTGTTATGCATCAATTCAGGTAATACTCTTTAATATCTGTCCACTTACATACATATGTGACACATTTTTATGTTGGTTTGGTACTTTTACACACAATGCACAAATCTGAAATGACAGAAATCAATATTCTAAACGTTGGTAAATCTAAATACTGTTATATATCCACTTCAGGGTGCGGAGAATCTTCACAACCAGGCTCTGATCACAGATTTAGTGACCAGTCTAAAGCAGAGTAACCCCACTCGACGGAACATCATCATCTTCCACTGTGAATTTTCCTCAGAGAGAGGCCCCAAACTGTAAGTATTTGTTGTTGATATAAACGACTTCAGATATACGTGGATCGGATTATAGTTTACTAATTGATGTCAGATTCTAATGAAATCAAAATAGATTATCTCTTTTAATGTAACGTTTCATTCAATGATATATCATCTGATACAGACTGAGACACCTGAGAAACCTTGACCGGAAGCTGAACAGTGACCGTTACCCTTTCCTCTTCTACCCGGAAGTATACCTGTTAGATGGTGGATACAGGGCCTTTTATGAACAGCATCAGGTAAGTCGAGAAACACCTTTAAAGTAGACCGGTTTCTATAATAGGGCAATATAAGAATTCCTATATTGAAGTAACACTTATAATATGAATATATATGATAAAATATCAATATATTATAGTTACTTTTGTACAATTGTGTTGTTTTTAGCTTTTGTAGAATTTTATGTATTAATGTACAATTACAACTATGTTTCAGTCTCAATGCAATCCAAGAAACTACGTTCCTATGCTGCACCAGGATTTCTCGAAACAACTACGTCACTTCCGAGTGAAGTCCAAGTCATGGACAGCAGGAGACAAACAGAGCATGCGCAGTCGACGTCATCAAATAGACGCGTCTCCACTCAAGATGTGTCTATGGTAATTTGGAAGATGAATTAGTGGCATGTGGAATTTCAACCGCTACCCTGGCAATTGGTCTTGAGGGATTTGTTATGTATTACTATTGTTTTTGTTGTGTTTTTGCCTGAATGTTGAGGCAATAACTGACTACTTTACACATACGTTGACCTGTTTAATCAAACATGCTGTGATATAATATTTCTACATTACGAATAAACACAGACTTACACTTTGTTCGTTTCGTTGTCTATCCATTCTGTAGTAGGAGTCTGTGATGTTTTACTGAAACTAAATGCACGTCTATGCAACCAAGATAACACTCGTTGATCTGTTTTCATTTATGCAACTAAAGTTAATTTAACTCCCATTCTTTAACATTGTACTAAGGTGTAAGTCACTAAGGTAACCTTAGTGCAATGTTAAAGAATGGGAGTTAAGGTTAACCTTAGCAAAGGTTGCTTCGTGAAAGGAGCCCCAGGTTGATTGTACATTGTTCAATACTGGCTAATGAAAGTCAAGAGAAACATTACAGTGTTCCGCTGACTCTGTGGGCTTGGGGTTAAAGTACGATTTCTTGTCTGCCCAATTTATATCAGTTACTTAGGTTTGAGGGATTATACAATTGTAATCACCCAGGTAGGACTTCGAATTTTCTGATGTAATATGGTACAGTGAAGTCCTTTCATTGTCAGCGGGTTCGATCCCCGACCGCGTCATACCAAAAGACGTTAAAATATGGTACTTGTTGGTCCTCGGCATTAATGGGTACAACAAGGACTGGTCGCCACGGAGTCAGTATAATGTGTCTGAGTGGGGTATTCATGCTTCACTGCGGCATGGTATCTCAGTGGGCTAGCACTATAAACCCAGCTTAAGTCTGGGCTAGTACAAGCAGCCTCACATACACATACACACACATGCACGTCGTCATATGAGCGAAAGCATGCACGTCGTCATATGAGCGAAATATTCTCCAGCGCGACGTTAAACCTCAATCACCTCACCTCACCTCACCTCACCTCACCTCACCACCTCACCTCACCTCACCTCACCTCACCTCGTTGTCAGCGCAATACAATTAAGAACGATATTTGACTGTATTTCGGACACAAAAATACATGATAGGTTTTAAAGTAGATTCTTTCGTGACTAAAACAAGGAAGGGGAAAAAGACGGTTTATATTCCCTTCTTGACATAAAATTCTGAATCTGAATAATGAAGATTCTTCGGAAAATTCAAGATCGTGACCTAGTCTTAAGATGGCTCTCACACTTTATACAAATAAAGGGGAAAACCATTTTGTCAACATTTTCAGTTTGTCACATGCAAAGGAATTAGAAAACGGACATTGCATCTTATGTGTCGTATGCGAACACAGAAGGAAACTATTGAACGTATAGTTACAAGATTCAAGCACTGGCCTGTCACGCCCAAGAAATCGGTTTGCTGCCCTTAACCTGATGTGGCTCTAATGAGGAAAATGCTTTCACAACTCAGCTCTGTAACCCTTTAGGACGTATTGTAACACCTCAACTGAAGACCAAAGGAAACTCTACCTCTAAGTTCATTTTGTCATCTGCGTGATTTTCAGTTGACAATATCTTAAATTAGCGATATAATCTAACAAAATGAACTGTACTGTCGCTTAGTCAGCACACACAGAATAGTGTTTATTCAAAAATGTGGCGTGAACAATTTAAATTGATTTATACCTTAAAGATTAAACAACTAAATAAGTTCGCATAATATATTATACGACACATCACGACGAAGAATTACTACGTGTAACAGATTGGATAAACATATCACCGGAGAAGAGATTGAGAATTCAATCAAGTCAATTAATCGGGCAAATAAAATATGCAAACTCAGCTGTATCCTATTTAGAATATTATTCAATGCTGCATTGGGTAGCGGTGTTTTCCCCTAGTTGAAATGTCGGTATGATTATCACAGTGTATAAAAAGGGGATACATAGTATCCAAATAATTACCGTGGTATTTCTTTGTTGAATGTAATGGGAAAAATATTCGCTTCTATTCTTGAACCCTGAATACGGCTTCAGGTTGATGAAGCATTAGATGAATGTCAAGCAGGTTTTAGAAATTACTATTCAACTATTTGAAATCGATTTGTCCTTCAATCAAACCAAAGCACAGATGAAAGGCAGCTTTCATAGATTTCCGTAAGGCATTTGACTTGGTTGAAAGAAACAAGCTATTGTATGTATGTATCTATTATGAAAGGTGAACATGGGAAAATGTTCAGAAGTTTTAAAGATGTGTATGCCAAGGTGTCAGTGTGTGTTAGAGTTGGAAGTTCGAAAACTAAATATTCACGACATCATGTTGAGTACGCTAAGGATGTATGCTGAGCCCACTGTTATTTATATTTTCCATCAATGAGGCAATAGAAGAAATGACGAAATGTAGACTGAGGAGTGTTTGTCAGAGATGACTGAACGATATCATGTTGCTCTTATCTGCAGAAAATGAAACATTGATTGAAGACACCGTGATAGGCCAACAAAGAAAAACTCAGAAGTTTACCTACAGAAGTCACGTATTATTGTTTTTAAAAATGGTGGATAGCCACGAAATGCAGAAAAATTGACTTATGTTTGTAAACAGATGCAAGAAGCATCCCACTATAAATACCTTGGAATTAATCACTTCATAACTAGATTAGTTTGGTCTAAAGCGTGCGAAAAATTAGCACTACAAGCTAGAAAGGCTTCATTTCCTAATCTTATTCTGAAGGGTTATCCTACTATTACTCTGAACACTTATTAGCAATACAAAGTGTGAAGTTTATTTAAATTGTCGCGATGTATTCAAGAATAAACCTGTTCATTTAATGTATAATAAATAATATATCAAGATAGTATAACATTTATCCCACCTGTCTCTGTGAACAAGCGTGATATCATGTGGTTTCTGAATAAACGCCTGGTTGTTGTTCTTGAATTCCCATATTGTCGACTCAGATTTACATTATTGTAGGATTCGTGTTGTTTCAGTTTCATTCTTATCCATATCTCTATTGAACTAATAGAATTTTCACAATATTGCCCAGTCATAGATTGCGCTTTTAATGTTGCAGGAATGCGAAAAACCAACAAAAAAAAATTAAACTTTAACAACAGTTCTTTCATTTTTCAGTTACAAGAAAACACTCTTGGTATACTAGTACCATTTTCACTTACATTTCTATATTTATCATTTTTGTCTTTTAAACACGTCCGTAAACAACAACAATAATTTATGCAATGATGATTGATTTATGATCTAATGTTTATTAAACATTTTGTATACTACAGGGACCCAGCTTTGCAGAATTTGCAGATATATACTATTCCAAAAAAGAAACGCATAACCCAGAAATCTGTTGCGAAAATGTTGTATTTTCAAACATGTATAACTCGTCCACAAATAGACTTTAGTACATGAATTTTTACATCAGTTTAGAAAAAGGTAATGTCTATACCACCAAGTGGATAATTTTAGATAACGGAGACGCTGAGCGCGATGGTGACCACGTAGCATGATCCCAACGTCAGTTCTCCTGGCTCTCAGTCCAATCTTCTCAACCTGTTCCGTACCGTTTGACCGGATATCCTCCGAAGTCCAGGCACCCTGGCTGCTGTGCTCTCACCCGTGGCAGTACGATAACGCAAATGTAGTACCCGGATTCGAGGTCTGCCTATAGGGGGACAGTCATTTGTTATACCTGTTTGGTTGTAACGAGCTGCAAGCAGTGATATCGTACTCAGACTAACATTCAGACGCCTGGCAACAGAAAATTGGTAATCTCCAGCGTCCATTCTTTCAATGGCGATGTTCCGTGTCGCAGCTTCAAGACGTGGCGTAGTGATTTGACCTTGAAATTCCTTCAAAACGAATGCCGATTTCCAAAAGTATCTGGATTTTTATAGCCAGACAGTGCATGCTGTTTGCTGCACAATTTCAACCAGTAGGTGATTTTTGTTGCGTTGTGGCTATGCCTTTTTAATTCTTGTAAGAAATCTCATCAAAATCAACATTTTCAGGTAAAGTCGATTTGTCACTTGTGCAATAGTGTAAAATCATGTTATCAACACTTTTGTTACATATTTGGACGATTGTTTGAACACAATAGGTAATTAATAGATTTTTCAAAATATAAAACGCCTATGCGTTTATTTTTGTGGGGATAGTATATAATCCTTCTCATCAGTAAGTATTATGGTGATCAAGGAACTCATGATATCCCATCTAAATATACGTCCTGTCCATCAATTAACAGAATCCGTAAACTAATGTCATCAGAAAGTGACAAGCTGCTGCCTAATGTGGCTACATTCATACACCTTGTACGGTCAAGATGTAAATATACATGAACCACTCACCCATAATAATCATAACAGGTACGAGGCCAGTCCTCAGTATCTGTACAGTATTCATTGATGTTTATATGTTGGACAAAGTACGGAGAACACCCTGTATTCTCTATCACTCAAAACCTCTTTCAAGTATTTCATGTCATATAATTGGTTAAAATATCGTCTGATATTAATTAAGTTAATGATATTTGTAATGAATGTCATGAATAGCCCCACTCTGTCATCTGTGTCTGTACTTGTATTCATTGATGTTTATATGTTGGACAAAGTACGGAGAACAGCCTGTATTCTGAACCACTAAAAGAATCTTTCAAGCTTTTCATGTCATATAATTGGGTATATTGTCATCTGATATTTATTAAGTTAATGATATGTGTAAATCGTGTCATGAATAGCTCCAGACTGTCATCTGTATCGGCACTAGTTTTCATTGATGTTTATATGTTGGACAATGTACGGAAAACATTCTGTGCGCTGTATTACACGAAGTAGAAATAAATATATAAAAATATGTTGTTGTTTTTAAAAATAACAGGTACTACCGGCCTTTGCCCAGAAATATACAGACACGAGCTAAATGCAGATATCTGAAAGGTAGAAAACCAAATTACACAGTAACCACGTCTGTATTGTAGTGTCATTTCTGAAGCTGAAACAGAACATGAAACCAATATAAAAAATACAAAACATTTCACTGTGCTACGTAATTTCACGTGCGTTCTAACAATAACTTGGTTTCTGCAAAGCATACCTCTAATCCAGCTAATCCAGATCATCCTA